GAGGGAAGGGGAGGTCAGGGGAGGTAGAAGAGCTAGAGGGAGGATAAGTGGTGATAGAAGGAGACTTGGAGTGATAAATACACAGTGCTATATACAGATGATGTATTATAGAATTATATACCTGAAACATATATAATTTTATTAACCTATGTTACCCCAATAAATATATTTTAAAAAGAATATTCACCAAAAATAAAGAAAGCTAGTGTACTTAATACTCCATCCTTTTTTTTTATTCTCATTCTTTTCTCCCTCTCTTCTCAACTCCTCACCTCTAGGTACTTTTTATTTTCTTTTATTTTTAGAGCCACCCCAAATATGACTTCCTCCCTTCCCAATTAATACTTCATACCATGTTCTTCATTTATTCTAAGGTGTGGATGGCTGATAAGCTCCTACAATGTGACTCCCATATGATATTTGCAAATGCAAAACAACAAAAAAATATTAAGGTCCTTTGCATTCAGTGTTGGTGAAATTGCAGGTTTCAGTTTAAAGAAACTAACTTAGTGACCCTTGACTCTCATTCTTTTCATATTATTGCACCTTATTACAACATGTTATGTAGTATACTAATGTAGAGGAAAAGTATAAGCAATTTCAAAGTCTAGGGGGAAATATATTTGCCTTAACCTTCAAGTGGTAGTTATTCTTACTTAACCCATTTACACCATTATATGTCCCAGGTTTTAAACAGCCAACATTGCTGAATTTCACACTGAAAAATAAGTAAACAAATGATGACATCAAAGGAGTTTAGCAGAGGAGGAGACACTGATAAAGAGTTGAAACTGAACATTGTCAGATTTTTTTCTTAAAAGGAAAATTAAACTTAAATAATGAAAGCCCATTTTCTATATAGCCCAATACCATGTCACTTAATCAGGAAATCATGATTTGGAAAAAAATATCTTTCTGGATTACGTTTGACTAAGGTACCAAAAGCACCATGCATAAAAGGAAAATTGATAAATTGAACCATATCAAAACTAAAAATTTTTGTTCTGCAAAAGTATCTCTAAGAGGATAAGTTACAGATTGTGAGAAAATATTTTCAAATCAAAGAACTCTCAAAATTCAACAGTGAAAAAACATAATTAAACTAGAAAACGGGCAAAAGATATTTCACAGAAGAGGATATACAGATTGCAAGTAAGCACATGGAAAGATGTTCAACATCATTAGCCATTAGTGAAATGCAAATTAAGGCCTCAGTACACATTTATAAAAATGACTTAAAGAATAGTGACAATACCAAATGTTGGTGAGGCTGCAGAAAAACTGGAATGCTCATACATTGCTGGTGGGAATGTAAAATCGCACGACCACTCTAGAAAACAGTTTGGCAGTTTCTTAAGAAACAGCAACTACCATATGAGCGAGCAATTGCATTCCTGGGCATTTATCCCAGAAAAGCGAAAACTTAATGTTCACACAAAAACCTGTACATGAATGTTCATAGCAGCTTCATTTGTAATACCAAAACCTGGAACTAGTTCAGATGTCTTTCAACGAGTGAATGGCTAAACAAACTATTGTGCATCCCAAAAGATTACACACTATGATTTCATTTATATAGCATTCTGGAAATGACAAAATTCTAGAAATGGAGAACAGATGTGGCTATAAAAGGGCAACATGAGGGATCCTTGTGGTGATGAAATGTTCTGTATCTTGATTGTATTAACATCAATATCCTGGTTGTGGCATTGTACTATAGTTTTGCAATATGTTACCATTGAAGGAAACTGGGTAAAGGGAACACAAAATCTCTCTGTATTATTTCTCACAACTGCGTGTGATTTTATAATTATCTCAGGAAAATTTTAATTTAAAAACAAAGAAATACACACACAAAAACCTTTGGGCTTACTTCTATCAGTGTACATTCAGGAACTATAATCATGTCACTAGTTGCACAGGATTCTGTCGTGAAAAATAATCTCAGTTGTTTTCTAAAAGCTAATTAAGTCAAAAGATAAATGGATAATAACAAATTGTTTAGCAAGCTATAAACCAAAAAAGTATAGAAATTTAGCAGTTGAATTCTACTTCCTGACTCTAGCACTTCTGCTGTTCAATCTATTTTCTGTACATATTAGAATACTGAATAGGTCATGATGGTTGAAATAAAAATGACACTTGCAGCAAATGATAGAAATATTGAGAAGGGAGAGTTCCTAATGCCTTGACAATATGATACTCCATAATGGATTGTGTGTCTGTGCATGGGGCGGTCTGAGGAAACAACAGATAGAAGTTAAGACAAGTATGAGAACAAATTACTGAGATAACATTAAACTTTTAAAAATATAGGTATCAAATCTGCCCGCAGAATGTACAAGAAATAGAACAAACACTGGTGCAATTTTAATCTGATAATTCATGAAAGGAGACTATATTTGATAAGAGAAAATTCAGTCATTTCCTTGTAAGCACTGAAAGAAAATTAAGAGAAAGTTTAAAGATACTAGGCTAAGAAAAAGCAACAATAACTCTTATATTCTCTCTCAATTAAACAGGTAAATCACCCTGAAACAAGAGTTTTTCACTTTGAATATTTATCATTCTATCTAACCAATTGCATTTTGGTTTCATAACAAAACCTTTTCTATAAAAGCTAATACATCTATAAGTGAATATAAATTAGTACATCTTTAAGCCCTTAATGCATAAAAAAGCTATATAATACATACATTAACCAACTTTTATAAAAGTAATGTGGTTTGGGACTGATATAGGGATCTCTGTTTGTGGCAAAGTACCAGACACAAGAATATTAAGCAGGCATTTTCCGTTTAATTGATTATTTTCTAAGTTTACTATTTAATTATTACAGTACAATTTAACTGATAGTGTTTAAGTACTGGAAGCACAGTTCTACAGAACTAGAAGCAGTCTATTATACTAACAGGGTTTGACAAGAGTTGCAGCGTGGACAAATGTTTTCTACATGTAGCATGCTTGAGTTTGCAGTTCATCGCTTGCAGGATCCTCCTCCGGTTCTCCTGCCGCGGTCTTCTCTTCGTTGGTAACAGGTGGGCTTTCTTCGTTTTCATCATCTACTTCTAAACATTGGAGGTCTTTTGCAATTAATTCTCTACCTAATTTGATGTTCAGTCCTTCGGTGTAATGCAGCTTCCTTCTCAATTCGAACTGCCGCTGTCTTTCTATTCTGTCCAGGAACGTTTTGCTACTGTGTGCCCCCCTGCTCTCTGGCTCCCTCATCTGACAATTCGGCTCCGAGGTATGAAGGGCGGTTAATTTCTTACTGAAGATGTCTCTGGTGATGTTTCTGATCTGGCCTTTTGTTCCGAAATTGTGCACTGTATCTTCTCCGCCAACTTGAATCCTGACGTGGGGAGTGCTGGGCTCATTTCTGTTTATTAAATCATAGTCTCTGTATGCAGAGCGGCATGTGGCACGGATATTTGACTCGTCCCACTTCTTAGACTTTCTTGTCTGTACTTGATTAAGTCCTCCGGTCTGCTGAACTTGGGCCACAACCGAGGAAGCCGAAGAAGCCGTGGAGCCTTTGTTTTTCAGGATCCCCTTGATGGGCCTCTGTGAACCACTGGAAGTAGACATGCTGGGGAGTTAAGGGGTCCTTGAGCGAGAGTTGGGCCGCTGCAACCGCCTGTAGCGCTTCAAGCTGACACTGAAGCGAGCTTTGTTTGGACCAGGTCTCCAAGGCCCTAACCGCCTCCCGGGACTGGCGTCACAAAGGAAACCACAGCGGTCCATACCGCAGTCATTATCAACGTCACCGCGTCGCAGACCACGCTGACATCTGTCTTTTTTTTTTTTTTTTTTTTTTTTGGGG